CTGGGCTTTGTTGAGGTTCTTGCTGTTCAAGGTCAAGACGTCCAAGAAGTCCACGGTCCATGGTAAAGCAAAACTCGTGAGGAGTTGTGGTCGAGGTGGGCGGTTCGGGAGCGAGGCTTTGGAGTCAGGAGTTGTTGGGAAGCCTCGAAGTCGTTGCATTGTGGAACTGGCGGTGTCCTGTTCAACCGGATCCAAACTCTGGGACTTCAGTGACGCGTGGTTCATGTAGGTGCTCATAGAATGTCACATATGCACAGAAGAGCTGCTCGATCAAATGCTTGCACTGGCAGACATCTGCATGCTGCTTCGGGCTGGTGGGGGCTGGTTCATGAAACCTCACCCACAGACAAACAGCGGCCTGGCTACAAGCAGCCTTTTCTTATCGCCTCGCGTGAAGACACAATGTGCCAAGAGACCTCCACCCAAAGGTGGTCCCATGCCTTTGCCACCCATGCCTCACGGGTTGAAGTGCAAGTGGTGTCCAATCAGGTTTCAGAGGCGTCAGGCATTCCATGAAGAGGGTCGGCTTATCGGCGCTTCGGCGTTCACGAAATCGTAGCAGGATCCAGGGCAATCGCAAGACTTCCAACTCCCTCGAACCCAGCACCTAAACTGCAGACAGCTGTTTGTGCAAGCAGCAACTCAGACTGCACAAGCCCGCGTTAACCAACTCTGGAGCCGCTCGAAGTGATGTTAGACGCCCCCCCCTGCAGGACCCAAAACCTCCTCATAACGAGATTCCTGTCCCGAAATCAAAGGCTAGAACCTTCGGTTGATCGGGCTTTGGGTCTCAGCCCAGGATCAACACTTCAAGCCCGACGAGCTGCTTGCCCTTCCGGCCTCCGCCCAAAGGGCCACCCTTGCCTCCCATGCCACCGATTGGCTGCATGCCGCCCCTTGATGGCCCGTGGGTGCGAAGTGTTTCCGCGCAAGAAGAGTGTTGATTGGCATGTATGCATGCATGCATGTCTGCATGCAGGTATGCATATACATGTATATCATGTATATGCATGTGAACGTATCATGTACAAGCGTCTGTGTACGTCTACTGCTTCCTGTACTTGCACTCGCGATAGATCAGGCCAGCACAAACCACCTCCGCCATAGCCAGGGCCGCCCATGGGGGTCTGCAGAGACGCAAAGGCTCATGTGCATGCGGCACACGATGTTTAGGGAAAGTGTAGATTCATCATGATTCATGCGGGTCTTCAGGAAATTTCCTCATGGCGCATTGATAAAACTCAGATGCATCTAAAGACAACAAAGAACAAGCAGATCAGTCATACCTTCACTGGCAAGAACCCAGATTCGAGAAACTGTCGGTGCTCTTCCGCCATGTGACAAACCATATGCTCCAGCGCTGTATAGTCCGTGCAACTTCTTATATAAGTTCTATGGAAGGGGAGAGGTGCAGGTACCAGTGTTCCGGCCAGTATCACGATGTGGTGTTCCGGCCAATGCAGAAGTCGCGTATTTCCGAGCCTGGTTGTCTTTGATCCAGCCCTGCACATGGGCCTGCCAGGAAATCACGGCAAGAGATTGCATCTAGCCTCACGGCTGGTAAACATTGTGTCGAAAGCAAGTCACACCCGACCCGGTACGCCGAGACGCCGAGACTCGGAGTTTGCGGGAGCTATAAAGAAAAGCGCCGGCTGCTGTTCAGGCCTTGGCTCGCTCGCGCGCAGCCGGGTCAGCGGCAGTGATGACAACTGCCTTGCCGCCACCTCGCAACGCAGCGGATGCGGATGCACTGAGCAAACGTCCATCGCATGCAAAGCCCATGCTCAGCACGCGCGCCTGGCTGGACCACAGAGTCCATGTTAATCTGCGCCCCCGTGTCTGCAGCCATCTTTTTGATGGTCGCGCCGGCGGGGCCTTCCAGGACACTGCAAGCGTAGTTACGTGCAAGCGGACGTCCCCAACAAACCGGCGGGAGATCTTTACTTGGGTGTAGGTACCATGTTTTACAGCGAAAGCACGGAGCCATGAAATGGTTGTGCTCTAAGACTATATAGTGAGCTGTGACGGGACCTCGCATGATAAACTCTTGATTGACTGAGCGAGGTTTTCGTGTTTATGCACCACTGTCATGGCTAATGCAGGCATCATCCAGCTTAGATCATCTTCTATCCTGCCTATGATCTTGCCCACCAGATGTCCGGGGACGATGATCGTCTTGTCGACCTAGGCGGGGATACGAGACTGAGCATCTTCGACTGTTGGAGGCTTCCCGACGATGGGTTTCTGCGAGTTCAGTGGCCGGGGGGCACGTTGCTGGACCCACAACTTCTCGCAGAAAGGTCGTACGTCCGAAACCCCTGAAACCTAGAGTTTCTTGCAACCCTGAACACTCATTTGTGCACATGTCGCCTATTCGCCCGAATGTCCAAGAAAGTGCAACCGAGCTTGCCACATTGCTCTGGCCGGCTCCTGGAGCAATGCAGCCATGTCACGGAGATTTGGAATTGGGCTTGTGGGGCTTTGCCAGGAGTTTTGAGAATGCAACAGACTGTCTAACCCTGCAAGCCGAAGATATCTGTCACGCCCAAGTCTGATAGGCTTGGGACTGAGGACACCCCTTCCTTAGGTCCCTATTCCCACAGAGCCGAACATATGCCGGAATACGGAGTGCGAAACATTGGACCTGAAGATCCTGTGCTTGCGCAAGAAGCAATATGAAAGAACCCTCATCCCTTCGTGCGGAAGGGCCTGGAGCTGCAGCATCCATCGTCACCAACGTCTGGAGGCGTTTCAGGGATCCCCGGCCAATGGCCGGGGACAGGAGGGGCCCGACGGGGCAGATTCGTAGCCGAACTGTGAGGTGAAAACCACTGGCTTTAGCTTTAGAGCGCGCAAGCTGCATAAGCAGTGACGAGTTGAATCTTGCCTCGGCTGTCTGGGTTTCCAGGCTTTGCTGCATCATGCAATAGGCGGATATATTCGTCAGAGCTTAACTTGTCCTGCCCACGCCCAGCCTGTCCGGCTCCAGATGGCTGGCCGCCAGCCTGTCCAGCCACGTGGGACCAGCTAGGCATGAGTACCTTGCCTCTCTGTCTGTGTCTGCATCAGCCAACTGATGATTTCATGTCATCTCAAAACCAAAAGCGCAAACCATCATGGGCTCCTGCTAAACGATGTGCGTTGTTTATGCTAGAATGCGCTAGAATTGTACGCTTCAGTTTACCTCACCTGCTTGCTCTTACAAGTAGCATTGCAATACGGACCCAGTATGGAACAACGGCGACTTCCAAAGCCCTCGTTGCAGCGACCCGCCAGCTTCTGGCAGTGGTGTCGTTCCCTAGTCTTTGCACTAGTAATGCAACTGCGAGCATGAAGCACCAGTAGTAGCAGCAGCAGTAGCAGTGGCAGATGAGTCTGCCAAGGCTAGCTCACACCAAGACACTTCCCAGCCATTATGGAGTCCCCCCGCCCTTAACCATACTCAGTCACTAGACAGAAACAAACAAACATTGCCCTCTGTGTCAATGCATCAAACCGTGTCCAATCGAACTCGAACGGGCATGGCACGTTTTGTAAAGAGAAGGTACGTTTACTTCATGCACACTGAACCATCCACGTTTGTGCATCGATGACAGTTGCTGATCTAACTCCGGCCTCGTGCATGGTTCAATATGCAATGAGCAGTCACTACGTACTGCGTACAGTACGTGCCGACTGCTTGCGGCATTCGCAGCCCACTTAGTCCGACAGCGCCTTGCAGTAGATATGCGCGATGCATCTCTTGCAAGACACAATACTGCACTGCTGCTGGCTGGCTGGATTTCCCTCCAGCATGCAGTGGCAACTGCCCCGAACATGGAAGCATGTATTCGTGTTCTGAGACTTCATGAAACCGGTTGAGATCATGCTCGGGACACCCGGTGGTTAGTAGTCATTTCGCAACCATGCGTCGCACATCGAGTGGGCAAAGTCGTAGTCACATCTTGCACAACCTAGCATTCATAGCCGAATGCCCGCGAGTACAGCTTTGCACGATCGACTCTCGTCGTTAGCGATTGAATTACCTCCACGATTCTGGCCGAGGAATCAACTCCACCCAACAATTATAATCACATTTACTCTGAAACGCTGCTAGAGGTATAACTGTACCTACATCACATATGAAAAGCGTTTCCGCATTCTGCCAATTCCCCAATGAAAAGCCATACGCAGAATCAGGGAGTTCTCCGGCTGCCCCTGTTCAGGGTAGACCGCAACGAAACCCTGGCTTGGCTAACACAAAAGCATGGGCCGTTGTAACAGTAATGTGGTGAGTTGGCCCTTTGGTACGGACTCTAGATCTGCTGGATTGACTTCACTAGCCTTCCATTTGGAAGGTCTCTGGACCTAGATGCTAGGCTAAACCACTAAGCCGTGCCAGCGCGCACTGCATGCATGTAACGGCGAGCCACCAAAAATCACCATCACCGCCGACACACGTGGTTTGGTTAAGCGGCCCCTAATGACTGATCTGAATTTCCTAGAGCCACTGTTTCGAAAACTTGGGATGAACGGAAGTCTGCCGTGATGTTAGCCGGATGCTGACCTATACCGAGCTTTGCAAACCACGTGGCAGCTGACTACTTTACTTGGACAGAATGGAAGCCACTCGCCAGGTAGTGACAGGTAGTGCTATCGAAGATCAAGCCCTCTTCGAGGTACCTGGGAGGGCTGCCAAGATCTGTAGGACCAGAGTACCCCAAGGCTCGGGTTCCCCGCATCTCACTTCCATCGGGGCCTGGGGCAAGAAGGCAGACATCAACAAGCAAGTTGCCAAGCAAAGCATGGCTGGCGCTAGAAACAAACGCCCGAATCACCAAAATGAGTTTGACTGCGGTCAATAACAAAATCCTGAATATGTACAGCTCGGATTTCTTGGGCGTGAAGCATTGAGACCGCCCAGGCTCTGGCCGGCTCCTTACGTACAAGTTTGAAGTTACATCTGGGTCTTCTCTGCATGTTCAAGCCCTGTGCCGTCTCGCGGAGCTGAGGAAGAGGCATCAGCAGCTCTCTTCAGACCCCTTGCTGGAGATGGGTGTCGAAGTCATCTGGGCATGACGCAGGACATCAATTGAATTGAGAGGTCCTTCTTCTGCAGCTTGGGAACATGTCGAGCTATGTTTTTTGTGTGCAAAACGAAAAACGGTTTGTGTGCCCATCAACAAGGCAGTTTCTGCCGACATACATAATTGATTAAACTGTCTCATGCCATCATCTGATGACACCTGGAAAATCATAAGGACCTGTAAAGCCTAAACGCTCCTTTCAGAAAGTCTTTTACAGCTGGAGCCTCGTTTTCGAGAGCGGGATCTGGTGCTACCTGTCTGTATATGTATATGCATGTATAAATGTACGAATGAAAAAGAGAAATATAGTTAGATATAAATGCCTATCCATCTGAATCAGAGAGAGAGAGAGAGAGAGAGAGAGAGAGAGCCATAGGAGAGGGGAGAGAGAGGGAGAGAAAGGAGAGGAGAGAAGCGAGAGAGAGAGAGGGAGAGAGAGAGAGAGAGAGAGAAAGAAAGAAAGGAGAGGAGAAGAGAGAGAGAGAGAGAGTCAGAGGCAGAGAGCGACATAGGAAGAGGGAGAGGGACGGGGGATGCAGAGGAGAGCAGGAAACACTCAGCAGGCAGTTCCTCACCCTTGCCGGCCGACGAAACCCAATGACAACGGCGGTCAGGTGCTGAGAAGTGACCCTGAGGCGAGACGTCAACACCTGTAAGCTGGAGCTCCAAGTGGTACGCTCCTGGCGTCTGGCATGAGAAAATCACCGTCCAGACTCTTCCATTGCTCTGACACTAGCGTCACTAGAGTGCAGCATTGTGACTCTTGCACAGCTCGAACTGCCCTGCATGCACATGCACATGCTGAGATTCTACTCAAGCTAACACACCGTCTGGGAAGGCCACCCCTGAGACTGAAGCTCCAAACCAAAGCCAAGCCGGAGAAACTTTCAGATACTCTGTACTTCAAAGAAGCTGAACCCCCAAGTTGAAACCCCGTGGTGCAACTCCCAAGTGCCGCCTCCTGTGGGGATGCAGAGATGGCGTGTCGAGACTCGGGCTGGCGGGTGCCTGTGGAATTTGGGATGTGAGGGCTGTTGCAACTGGAATTCCCTGACAGATGCCCATATAATCCATATAGTATTTTGGCCCAATGCCAAAAGAATTCGTAAGAGGGACCTAAAGTTGAAACCTCCTTCCTTCCCGCTGTAGCTCTTTCATCTGCCGGAAGGATGATCATATAGGGGCCGCCAGAGCCAAAAGTGGGGCAGACGGCATGCTTGTCTGATTCTTGTAGGACCTTTGAACCCTACATTAAGGCAAGGGTTTGAGGCCAGATTCCCCCCCCCCGGACGTGGCTCTACTGTGCATGTAGCATCACTGAAACTTCTGAGGGTCAGTTCAGGTAGCACAAGGCTCGGTTCGCCAAGTTCAAGTCCCGCCCCCAGCCCTTGTCACCTTGGGAGTCGGTGACAGCTTCGAGATCTTCGCCCGAGTAAGATCCATGGCCGGCTCCCTGGTATGCACAGCCGGACTTCCCCTCCCTTCGGGATGTAACTAACGACAACCATCTGGGAAAGATCAAGAAGGCGATCTCGGTTCAGGCCTACTGGGGTCTGGGGCCGGGGTTCGGAGTTTCAACTGCTTCGGGGACTTGCAAGGCTCAGGTGAAGGATTCTTGGGTACGCCTCGATGTTCAGCCAACCCAGGTTGAACGGCAGACTCGGGAGCATCTCAATGTACCAGAGCTATTGGAGATTATAGTGGGATGTCTAGCAGTCAGCCATGTTGGCAACTCCGCTGGCACGCGCATTATCCAAAGTCATACGAAGACGCAATACCAGTTCTGAGTCGCATCTACATGTTGTGGTGCTTCAGGACATGGTATTGACCCTCAAATTCGGACAAACTAAGCAGGGAACAGCTGAAAGAAGACAACCAATTCCTGCCAAATTCCTGCCATGGACATCGAACCTGCAGAGGCCTCTGCTCCAAATAACTTTTCCAAACGCCCAAACCTCAAACGCGAATGCACGACCTCGCTGAGATGACGCGGCTCAGGGTCTATGTCCTTGATTCGAGGACAACTAGAACACCAGATTGAGGCAGTCTAGAAAACAAAGAGTGTCTAGCAGTTATGTAACGACACATCTATCTGCAAATGCATGCATGGAAAGACAGGTTGATGGATGGGTGGATGGATGGATAGGTGGTTGATAGGCGGGCAGCCAGGCAGCCAGGTAGGTAGGTAGTCAAGCTGGGCTTAGGCCTAGTATCTAACTATGTGAATATGTAGATAGCTATCTGCACATACCTGCATTTATGTATGCCCGTGAAAACATGCGGACGGTTGCCACCTACTGTACACACTTGCGCACACGCGCACATCCACACAAACAAACACACACGCACACACACACACACACACACACACGCACGCACGCAAGCAAGCAAGCAAGCATGCACGCACGCACGAGTGTGGGTGTATGTATGTATTCATGCATGCATGCATGCATGCATGCATGCATGCATGCATGCATGTATGTATGTATGTATGTATGTATGTGCATATATATCTTTATATACAATTAATAGTGCATCTACTTTTCAACATATATTTATATAAACAAACATTTGTACATAAATGCATACATACGCACCTGTACATATGCATATACATAAAAAATGTGTATATACACATACTTCTATATATACATATGTATGTATACATATACGTTCACATGTCTATACTGTTTCATCAATCTACACCGATCGGCACCTGCATACATGCATGCATACACAGATACATACGCACATACATACAGAAGTACATCACTGCACAAAGACCATCAAAGGCCTACTACCCACGTACCGCCCACCGACCTACCACCTACCTACCTACCTACCTACCTACCTACCTACCTACCTACCTACCTACCTACCTACCTACCTACCCACATACCTACATACCTACCTACACGCATAGGTACACCCACTAACATGCCTGCACACATACAAACATACAAGCGTACATACTTGCTTAGATAACTTACTTACATACATGCATGCCTTTATAGATACATACATACCTGCATGCAGACATACCTTGTTGCTTACATGCATGCATGCATACATATATGCATACAGACACGCATGCATAGCTACATATATAACAATCATTAGATAGACGCATGTGTTCGTACATGACTTGCCAAATAGATTGCTGTTCTTCCGTGAAGTGGCCACTAGAACATGCCTCGACCACGACACCGGCAAGAGTACACGGACACAGCGCAGTTTGTGTGTCCTGGTGGTGTTAAGGGCCAGTGTAGAATTAAGGGATTCATCAGGCCGAAGGCGCTGGCAGCTCCGGGCGTGCAGGCGTGCGCTGGACGGAAGACGAACCTCCTCCGGTGTAGACGGAGGGGCTCGCGGTATCTCGTGTAAGAGGGTTGGCGCTATGCCTCTCTAGCTACAGTATCTCTCTCTCCCGCTCGCTCTCGCTCTCCTTTCGTGTTGATGGATATCCCACAAATGGCGCTCTTTCCGTTCGGGTCGCGGTTAAGGCTCCAGGCCAATGGTTCCATTGTAAGGGCTTTCGCAAGGTCAGCGGCTGCAGGCAATAGCCATTGCTGAGCATTTCTGACTTAGGCAACGGCCTGGCATTGTCGTCACATCGTAGGGGAAAGGAGAGAAGTCGCCGTGCTGCGCAAGGTTCCTGGCAATCTGATAATCTGACTCGGCCCCAGAATCATGGGGTGAGACTTGTTCGTAAGAAAGCCTCAAGTCGTGCATGCCGAAAACACGGGCTACATGCCATCTGATCTACTGCAACACTGTCTAGGAGCTGCTTGCAGCCACTGCTTGCTCCGGAAATTTTTCTGTCGTGATTGCAATCTCATGGTCGAGATGTGGGATGTCGGTGGACTTACAAACACCGGCCTCCTCACGTCAAAGGAGCTGACGCTGCTGTCGCCTTCGCTCCAGAATCGAAAGCTTTAAGGGTCACACTCTCGGTTGCCTCTGACGCAGCTTGCTAGGATATATTTAGGGCGAGGAGAAACGACAAATACCGGTGGAGCCTGCAGAAAATCTGGTTAAGCCCTGCAGCCCTGCTGACGGGAATCCTAACCTCTGAGATATGAGTACCGCAAATTTTTGGCAGGATAGACCGGCGATCCCTTGAATCCGTTGAAAAAAGTGTATAGGACTGCCAGGGTAACTTGAAGGCTCCAAGGCAGATGCAATGACAAACAAGCCCACACAAGTCACAGACCCCTGCCACGACAGTTTATTTTCGTGCCGAGCGGCTGCCAAGACTCGGACGGTTGGAGCGCGGAACAACGGGCATCACCTGAGAGCCAAGTCTGCTCAGCTCATGGAGTGACAAGCTCGAAACTCCAACAAATCCAAGTTGTGCCCGCCCCGATCCCTGTACACGATTGCTCCAGGATGTTCCAGGATGTGAGGTTGGAGTCGCAGCAGTGCTGCCACGAAGTCCCAGCATAAGCATGTGATATGGGCCTTCTTTAAAGGTCCATGGCTGAGTAAAATAGTCAGGGAAGGCAGCTTTCATCAACTGCATATTTGCTTGCTGTGCTGGGCCTACGGTTCAGGGTGTCACTTCGTTCCGCCCAAGCTCGAGATCGTAATTCGATAATGCCCCGCTCCCCCAAGGGCTCCGGCCGGCATCGGTGTAGGGATTCTAGGGCCGTGAAAGCGCGCCCCTTCATCTTCCGAGATCATCTCCAGGTTCCTGTGGCTCCGAATCCCACGAGCCCCGAATTGCTTGCACACACTGCATGCTACAGTAGATACTAATATCTATCTATACATATATATATATATATACATATGTATATATACATATACGTAGATTCAGTTTCATCCGCCTGCTGTTAGAAGTTAGAAGTGGTCGTAAAGATACCGAAAAGCAACAGCCAGCTATTTTTGGGCTTGCAGCTGCAGGTGCGGGATGGGGCTGTTCGTCGGCGAGGGCGTTCTCTCAGCACGATGAGTCTCCTGCAGTCCCAGCATGTGCAGGTGCAACGCAGGCAGGACAATGTTTTGCGAGGGCACATGCGAACACAAAAGTGAGTGTCGTTCGCGACGTATGAACGTATATATATATATGTTATCTACGTACACGTCATCTACACATACATAACTATAAACATACATATAACTATAAGAGAAAGAGGAGCATGCTCAAAGAGGCATGTACATCAATGTGAAAACGCTTCTGTTTCTTTTTCGATGCCTCAGCACTGGAAACACACGATGTGTATGCACATGCGTGTGGTGCCTTTGCAGCACCATGCCCGTACTATAAGTGCATGCACACATACATACAGAACACGTGCAAACTGTCATACTACACCTGTGTACACCACAGATGCATGGAGGCCGGCATCCTTGTACAATATACACTGGGCAAAAATACGAGTTGAGTGCCCGGTCGGTTTGATATATATATATATACATATATACGTGCATGTACCCCTTGCAGTGCACCTGCATTGCAATGTATTCCGTTACGAGTTCTGTTATTCTTATTCTTGAGGTGCGTAGTCCAGGCAACCACGCAGATCTCGAAAGCCCAAGAGCGGATAATCTCAGCCCAGTCGCCGCGCTTGCTGGTTCCGGAGGGCGCACAATGACTGTTGGCGACATAGGTCTGAGCAGCCGAGGCGATGCTTGGATCCCCGATGCATAGGCTCGTCTTGAAGTCGCATCTCGATAAGCATATAAGTGTGTATATATGTATGTATACATGTATACATACGCATGCTTGTATGTCTGTATGTCTGTATGTCTGTATGTCTGTATGTCTGTATGTCTGTATGTCTGTATGTCTGTATGTATGTATGTATGTATGTATGTATGTATGTATGTCAGTTTGTCTATTGTATGAGCACGTGCTCAGTGTAGAACTGGCAAGCTACGAACTCCGTTACAAAATATGCAACAAGTTTTGCAAAACATATACATATTCATATGTGCATATGTATACATGTGTGTGTACACATACATACATACATGCATACATACGTACATAAATATATAGTGATGATAAGGTGACGATGATGTGCTGCAACCGTGCTGGCGAAAGCTTCAATGCATGTTCACTCTGAAGGTCGCCTTATGCCGCAGAGCGCCCGAAAGCCCTGAGACCCAAACCGTGAGCCCAAACCATGAAACCGACTTCCCAACTGCAGAGAGTAGACTCTACCCTGGGCTAGCTACTCCTTGCACTCGGAGTGCTGAGCCCTATCCCCCATCGCAAAGAGAAGTCTTAATCCTCGTTACCCTAGTTCCTTAACAGCGAGTGAAAGCTCAACCCTCAACGCCACAACCTGAACCCTGAAAGGCACAGGCCCAAAGCCCTCAAACCACACCAACACCCCGAAGCCGAAAGCCATGACACACAAAGCCCAGAACGAGCCTCAAGAACCTACGTAAAGCCGCAAAGCCCACGGTCTCAAGACCTCCTCGGATATCAAGGCCAGGGCGCAAGAAGCTGGGACTCACCGCCGGGCTTGCCTCGGTCACCGGTCGCGTTGAAGCTGTGTCCTCAGGGACTCAGGGTTGCGGCTTCAAGGTCAGAGCTCGTCTGGCACGTTTAGGGCTCCAGCTCAGAGTTTATGGCGTAGAGTTCAGCTTGGAGTCTTTTGGCTAGTGAGTATAGGATTTCGGTAGCGGGTTTTGGGATTCAAGTCTCAGGGCTTTGGAGTTGAGGTGTAGGGCTTAGCATCTCGGGTATCTGGACAGGGCTAGGCTGAGTTTCGGCTTCGGGCAGCTCTTCTTGCCACGCTGCCAGGCGGTTGGCCGGTCGGTTAACAGCAGTCCGGTGCGGCAAGACTCGGAATGAAACCAGATTCTTACATATCATGCAGATACTATATGTCAAGCAAGTTCACCAATGCGAAGCCCGTAACATGTGCATATATCTTCTACTACGATTCAAGAACTCACGCATTGGGGCTCCGAACTAGTGGCTGCTCGCCCCAGACCCCACAGCCACTCACAGCGTGTACCAGGACTAAGCAAGCGAGATGTTGATTCAAGGGCAGCTCCTCCAGAGCAGACTCGCATTGCTCCCGCACTTTCTCCCTGACGTCAAAAGGAAGCAGCCACTCCTTTGCTCAGCATGAAAAGATAATTAAGATCACACCTGAGTGGAGCGTCTGGATGAGGATGACGAATCCAATGAACACATGCAAGTATCTTGGGCATAAGTCATGCGCGAGTCTAGAGGGCAACTCCTGAGTGAGTCTCCAAGCGGAACGGCTGCAACTCCCCTCCGCAGCTGCTATCCATCTGTCAGCATGTCCCAGTCTGTGAAAGAACTCGCGGACGAAAAGGCTTTGAGAAGCTTCTTACAGGATTGAAGAGTTTCTTGCTAGAAGGGCCTCGGGGCCTCCGAAACCTTCTCTGTAGCTCATAATTATGGTACCCTTCGTGCGACATTGGCCGACAGGCCTGGAAACCGCCAAGGGGCCGACCGCCAAAAGCACCAGGCGGCCGTCGAGACCAGAATGGGCAGCACTACCAGGAGGATGCAAATCGTGAACACCGAAGATGCATCCCATAGGGACCTCTCTTCGGCTGACAGCCTACATGCAGAACTTCCTTCAGGTGCGCTTGGAGAACCTCCTCGCGGTTTATTGAGGGTTTCGGCTAAGGCTGGAGCCTTCAAGTTTCGGATCTTCTGCGGCTTAGGCTGTTTGTTCATGAATCCTCAACACTAAATTCGAATTCGAGTTCTTCAGGGATGGTAGAAGCACAGTGGTCGTGAATGTGTCTTAGAAGTCAGCTGGGAGGCAAGACGGCAAACGTTCCCGCCAGCGCCAGTGGGAGGCTCAAGAGGAGAACGAAATACCTGGATCTCAAAAGCTGTGTTTGCAGCTACGTCATGAGTCTTGATTCATGATCTTCGCGTCGACAAAAAGCAAAACTCTCGAAAGCCGATTGTGTATAGGAAGCCAAGTACACCAGGGAGTACTCGTTGACAGCAGCCGCACACATCAGACCAGAATGGAGTGCCACGCGACGCACGCAGGGCAGTGCTGTGAAGAACATGGTCAAGATGCTGCAGAGGAGCCAAACCCATCCTAGCTGGATAATCCTGAAGGCGAAGATTGCAGGCTTCTGGACACGCTCTGGAGTCTAGGGTGTGTCTCTCTTGTTTCAAGTTCGGGCCGTGCTTATCTACTGGTAGAGCAGAAAAACACGAACAAGCCAAGAAACCCCTTGGAGTATGGCAGCTCACCTGTGGCAGCCGCGATGAGTGCAAGGGCACTGCCAATTTCAGCTGCGATGCAAAGATACACCATCTTTGCAGGTGGCAAATATCCGATTCCACATAACGGAGTGAGGATGCAAACTATGGACGTGCTGTCATGCATCAACAACAAGGAGAAGAGCATGATGCCAAAGCTCGCCAATGGCCCGGGGATCGTCAGAGCCTTCTCCAGTGCAATACGGCATCTTCCCAAGCATCGCAGGTCCGCCATCTGGAAAAGACGGGATGCCATGTACAGGAAGACGAGGCTGCAAATCAAGCCTGAGACCACGCCGCCTTCTTCTAAGATCCTTTCATCCTCCACATTGAGCTTCCAGAAAGTAGTGCTAGACAGCAAACATGAAGAGTGGTCACCGTCACAAACAGTCGAATTAAGAGCATTAGCGCAAATGTTCAGCTGGCTGTAATATCCTGGGTTCAGTGCGTGCCATGCGCGTTGAACTGGCTCGGTTAGACATGAGTAGGTGCAGCCCTTTCCAGCTGCAGCAAGCTCATGCAGATCTCCAGTGATGCAGGACACGCCTGTAGCTGGCAGAACAGCCGGTGGCCCTAAGATGTAGGCTTTGAGTCGCCATTCCTGAATACGCACCACGCGATCCGCTACCGGCTGGACCACCCAGGACGAGGGATCGATGTACGTGAGGTGGATGGAGGCCATGGAGTCCACCTGCTACAGGGCTGATGAATAAGGATAATGAGATAATGCCACGCACACCATCTCAGAAAGCGCAAGGAACGTATAGAATCAAAACAAAACCGCCAGCAACCCCTTCCCATTGCGGCACCAGCGTAGAGGTGAAGCCCAAGAGTTTGCCCCGGCTCCTGCGGCACTTCCACTCACGTCAGGCTTTAACGGAACAAATCGTTGTATATAACCAGGGCCCTTTCATCGGACTCCCAAGCCAACCTCTTCAAAGGGATCTGATACAACTTCAGCGATTCTTTCGACATTGTTCTAGAGATTCTGTTGGAGTGCAAATGCCCGTTTCTGCATGATTGCTATTATCACTGCTTCTATCCCGATCATAAGCCTGCCACTCGTACCCCGTCCACGGACATTGTTTGGGGCGGGGGCTTCCTGATTTGAGACTGGGTCTAAAGCTTGGGCGATGTCTAGAACTGGCTGTACTACCAGGCATCTCCAGTACGGCCGTTAGGACGCGTCCTTCGGATACATCTTGCATGCAATGTAACAGAACTGACTTCAAACTGATTGGGTGCTGAGCTAGATGCTAAACTCGAAACCTCCTGACCTTGACCGACATGCAAGAATTGACATCCAAGGCTCAGAATTTCCGCAGGCACCAGAAGAAGCGCGCAGCTACCGCACGCCATGAGCTTCAGCATCTGACAGGCTCGAATGGTTCTTTGACAAGCGAGCAGGCTACTCAAGTCGGTCACTTTGACTCTGACTCCGAAACTGCTTGACACACCCAAATCGACAACCTGCCTGGTAGGCTGATATGCCCCAAACTGCTCGAGTCCTGCGCAGGTCCCGGGAGGTTTAGGAATTCTTCACGTCACGTTGCAGAAGTGGTTCAAGGGCTCAGGCTCAGCGTTGAAACGGGGCTGTACTCGGGTCGTTCTGGTACGGATCGTAATTTTGAAAGCAGTGCGGATCAGAAGTTCCCCACCCCCACAGTGATGCAAATACGTCGAGAAACCATGACACAGCATGATTGTTGTTACGGTCCAAGTGTTACTAGTTATCAGAATGGAGTTAACTTTTGCAAATGCGGCTTAGGATCAGGTGAGGCCACTGGCCAGGCATAGCGGCCAAAAGAAGTGGCCCGATCGTGGCACCTCCGCAAACAAAACCGAAGACAGCTGACGGCAGTGATCTCTAGAGTGGGCGTCGGGATGGAGGAGTTTCCTTTGAGTCGCAATCGCACGCGACCCTGCATTGCGCCTATTGAGGTGCCGATCGTCAGGATGATCCCGATCTGCGCATCAATTTGAGACGAGGCCACCATTTGCCCAGCGATCAAGATCGCTTGCGCCGGTGACTGCATCAATACAGTCCCGACCTGGGTTTTGAACAGTGCTCGCTGCGACCGTCGTGTTGTCCTCTATAGTATAGTAGGTCTGAGCCTGTAGTACTCTAGTCGAACCTGGAACTCTGCTGAAGGCACATGTGCGGCATGCGTAACGTCATGCAGCATTTTTTCAGCCTATACCTTGATATCTATATCTAGAATATATGTATATATGTATATATGTATATTATATATATATATATTATGTATATATATACAATACATATATATATACAATATATATATATATATACACATACATACGTGTATATATATATATATATACATCGATCTATGTATGTATGTGATCACTTACATACATATATATATATATACACATATATATATATATATGGAGAGAGGGGGAGACAGACAGTGTAAGATGTATATACACATAAATGCATGTAAACTCAACCGATTCTGCGTATGCTGCGTGCATGTATATCTGTGTGTGTGTGTATGCATGTATGCAGGTCGGCAGCCGGGCGTGGGTGCGTGCGGGGTGGGCTGGGCTGGGCTGGGCTGGGGGGTTGGGCTGGGTGGGTGGGTGGAGGCAGCGAGAAGGGAGGGAGACGGGAGGGAGGCAAGTGTGTTGCAGTGTATGCTACATGTATGTAACATATGTGTGTACGGATGTATGTGCGTACCTGCGTACATGCGTATGTACGCATGCCTTCATGTACGCGTATGCCCTTGAGACCACATACGGCCAGACGGCTCCATGTAATTGCCCCCTGAAAGAGGGCAAAGGCTCTCTGCGAACCCTAGCAACACTGCTTCAACTTCTACTGGGAGCTGTCCATCCGGTAGTCAAACCCGAGAGAGCAGATCGCAGCGAAATTACAACAGGACTGGGAGGTCGGATGATGGAAAGCTTTTGGACAGGTGCCTCGCTTCTGCTCGGACACTTTACAACCTAACAGCAACTCACACATCTCAAAACATCACATCACAGCTAGATCCACTGGAGGAGACGAGGTGCAGCTCCAATGAGAAAGGCCACCAAATTACCTTCTCTGTAGGTCCGCAGCATTTCCACAATCAGCCTGAGATTTGGGTGCTGCATAGGTCGCAATTTAGTATGGATCTCTCGGGGTTTCAGCATTGAGGCCTTGCAAGGATCTATCACCGGACTCCTGAGAGCTGCCCTTCTCCTGCCTCCGAAAGCTACACTACTCTCCCCGATAGCTCCCAGATTTTCTCTGCGAGTTGGAAACACTCTTTCCTGCATACTGGGACCTGGGGGGGGGGGGGTCATCTGCAAAGAAGTAGGTCCATGTCTGACCAACCCATCAATCATCTATGATTAGCTGCTCGCCGTCTGCTTACCCTTTCATGTGCCCCACTGCAGAAGAAGGTTCACTAATAAATAAGCTTGCAGGGTTTGACCGATCCACCTCACGCTCATCCCAAGCGCGCAGGTCCTGGGCCGTTGTCTTGATGCATGCTGAAGGATTACATCGGGGTCCGGCCCGTATACTCGGTGGAGGGCTGTTAAGGCTGTTAAGGTTTGTGGGACCGTGATGCTTCCATACTGCTTTCTGGCTGTGTCGCCACTCTGCACAAAAGTACGTGCTTCTTCAGACCCTGTTGTTGCCATCACCGGAGTTCGGAAGGGGATGCGTTGGCGCACTAGGGGGAGTCTATACATGCGTTCCGGCAGAAATAGCGACGCACACGCAATCCTACAACAACCCTGGGCCTCCAAAACACTTCTTAGGTACCCAGACCCTACTCGAGTCATTTTGGGGTGTGCCAACACAATCAATCCACGACGTACTGCAAAACTCGCGGCTAGAATCACAATAGACATGCCTGTGACATGCCTTGCTGCAAATATGCTTGGAACTACCCTACTGTGACGATATTGTATTTGCAGTACTAAGCATGCCATGTCCACAGCGACAGACTCTGCTGTTGCTGCTACGTCAACCGATTTCACGAAAAGCCTCAATGATCTGCTTGTGATCAGCAGACTACAAGATTACTAACGACGCTTGCAACATACAACACTTCGCTTCGAGAGCACCAAAATGCTGCTTCTTCGAACGGTCTCTCCGGTCCCGTACCGACCGCAACCCCAAACACGCAGCTCCCAACCCATGTCGCCGGGCCGCGAGAAAATATTGAGGGCCAGTAGCATCAGCCCGAAAGCTCCCACGGCCCGCAGGATTCTGCAGGCAGTCAAGGCATGCCGTGCCTCCAGACCGAGCAAACGCTGCTTGCTTACGGCAGAGTTCATTTTCCTGTTCGGGGCTTTAGGGCTTTTCGGCGTGCTGGAGTCTTTGATCAAAAAACAAAAGTGCACCGTAGCATGCAGCACAGATTCGCTAGATTCGTTCATGAGGCTGTGCTGTCCTCCAGTTGACTGATGCTGTTGATTGGATTACCAAGTCTTGTTGGTTTAGCAGGCAACTCATCAGCCAGACGAGGCCTTGGCATCCAAGGCAACGGCCATGTGCCTCAGTCGCAGGTTTATTGCCCGTGGGTCGTGGAATTGGGGGGTGGTAAAGTTCATGAATATGCTAGGCACAGGCCTTGCACATGCAAGCCCAACTGTTTCAGAAATCGTTTCGTTCAGCAGAAGCAAAGGCGAAACCTCCGAGCTGGGAAAACCAGAACGTCGACGACACGTGGTTGCATGCCATGGGTACTGCAGCATACAACACAGTAGATAGACAATGTCGGCCACATAGAAGAGAATGCGAACTTACTGAGGTCCTTCTAGTGACGTGTGACTTGCTTCCTGCGTTTTACACGTTTCCACAAGTTAAGACTTCCAGATCATTCAGGTGTGTTTACTGCAAGGAAGGTGCTCTGCCTGAGCAGAATCCTGTCTACTTTCTGCGATTATTGATTGCTCCTGACGCTGCTCTGTAGAACAAGGAGGCCAGCTGAAGTGCTCCGGGCGGTATACCTAGAGAACGATAGCACGCACCTAGATGGATAGATAGATAGATGGATGGACAGATGGATGGATGGATGCATGGATGGATGGATGGATGGATGGATGGATGGGTAGATGGACGGATAGATAGATGTAACAGATACACATACTTAGATTTATATATACAAAAAATTGAAAAAGCGGAGAAAGGAGAAAGACAAAGAGAGAAAGAGAGAGGAGAGAGAGCGCGAGAGTGAGAGAGAGAGAGAGAGAGAAAAATAAAGAGAGAGAGAGAGGGAGAGAGAGAAAGAGGGAGAGAGAGAGAGAGAGAAACAGAGAGAGAGAGAGAGAGAAAAAAAAAGAGAGAGAGAGAGAAAGAGAGAGGGAGGGGGGGAAGGATAGACAAAGAGAGCCGGAGAGAGCAAAGAGCGAGAGGAACCCGAATACGGCTTGCCAAATCCAAAGCCTGCTTCCTCAGATACGTCTTCCTCACGGCGCTTCGTTAGTCCAAGAGGCCGCGCGCTCACATCGGGCGTGCGCAGTCTCGGCAGGCAGAGGCCCCGCGCCATGGCAACCAGGATCAGGGATGGGCCCGCTGGCGCACCGTTTGTCGTGCAGATCTGAGCTCTTGGCCCATGGCCTGTATATGATATGGCTGGACTGGGTTATAAGTTATATATGGGCTATATGGCCCCTGTCCGGAGGGGCAAACGACAAGAGTTTGCTGCTTCTGTGAGCCGCTGCTTTGGCGCCTGTGAGGGCCCAGCCCGTCTCAAGCCATCCAAGCCAGGGGGGAGGGCAGGAAACTAACTCTTCGTGGGAAATTGCCGGTTGCATCTGGCCAGGCCCATGTCCTCTGTGGCCTCAAGCCAGGCTGTGTGTTTGAAAGATCATATGAACAATGAAGAGAAAGCTGTCTCCGGCCTGAACACATGCCCTGGTGTCTTTGCATGGCTGCCGGCAGAACGCACATAGCACAAGTGGAAACAAGCCCCTGTCAGACATGCATTGGGCACACCTTTCGCCTGCAAGACACATGGGGTCACCAAGCCCAACGGCGAAGGTGCGCTTATTCTCAGGTAGCCCCCTACCAGGCTGGCTGTGCTCCAGTTTTTTGTGCTAGTCTCCTCCCCACACCGAGAACTCCGATGAAAACCATACATCAGGGTGCCCCCCAAAGGCACAGATTCACACGAGCACCTGCTAGCAACCCCATCAAGCCCAGAACCAACAACACGTGGTAGCTAGAAGCAAGCGTGCCGCTGCACGCCCCAAGGCCTGGCCGGATCCACCAAGGCCACCCATGTCATTCATCATGTCGTTAAAGTCCTTCGAGGTTTACAAGGCTTCGGCTTTCAGGCTATCGCGCCTTCATCTTTATGGGGTGCTGGGTCATACCGCGAAGGACGCTGCAGCCGCCTCATGTGACCCAAGTGGGTGATTCGGCGATTTGATCCACGACTTGTGATTTGGAGGGAGGCTGCCTCATTCCCTCCCTGAGATTAAACGCAAGCGCAAAGCTCTGAATAGCTGGCTACCGGTAGTACCACGTACTTCACGCAGCTCCGCAGCTCCTGGCCTTGTCCATTTGTGCCTTCTTCTCTGCCATGGCCTGCATTGAGCATGGAAGTTGCTGCTTGTGAGATCGAAACAACTCGCGGCATTCCTAGGGTGTCACCAGGTGGCCCAGAGTGCATCACGCAGAAGATTCCAGCTAGGTGACACTGACAGCCATAAAGACAAGACAAAGCCCTACGGCGATCTGCTGCTGTCCCACCTTCCAGTCTACGTTCTCGCGCTTGTTGATCTCTGCGGCCTTCTTACAATCTGACCTGGCTTTCCGATGAAGCATAGACCAGCTCATGGTTTTGAAAAGGGGTTATAAGGATAGTCTGAAAGCTGGATCTCTGTTGAAGGGCGTAATCCTGCTTGATTGCGCATAGAACGGAACTGACCATGGAATAATGCTGTGAAGCTGCGCAACGTGACCCTTGTCACCACAGATGGTACAGGTCACCTCGGCAGCTCTGACGATGAGTTCTTGAACAATGCTAAAACGCTGGCGTATAATCAACCCTGCCGAAAGCTGCACTCTCCAGCCCCAAGTAAAAAACAAAACAAAAAAACATTAACCAGCACGACGCATGCTGGGGTGCGACAAAACTCGTGTTCCAAAGCAGCCATCCGATTCGACTTGACAGCACCATTCCCAAACCGCACAGGCTTACCTCTGTCCCCAGCTTCAAATCAAAACGGCTTGTCTGCATGTTTATGTATTGTATGTTCGCAGTATGCGCATACAAAAGATAGCCATATGGGTAGGCACTGAAAGATGTGGAGAGTACGCACGTGTACATGTCCGTATTTCACACACCGTCGCAGAATGTGCACAGGTACCGTACTTATACACATCTTTCAACATCTTCCACAACATATGCACGTCATATGTAGTAGAGAGAGAGAGAGGGAGAAAGAGAGAGAGAGAGAGAGCGAGGGAGAGAGAGAGAGAGAGGGAGACCGAGACAGAGCCAGACTTGGCCGGTCTAAGGTCGTCGCATTCGCCATCTTGTAATTCTGGTTGTTGGTCTCGGGACACTCGAAGCCTGGGCACGCAAAGTATGGAGAATTTCGATGCCAAGCTCCGAACTGCAAAGTTTAAGCGAGATGACTGGCCCACGGCCCACCCAGGTTGCTTGAAGCGAGGGTGTACAGATGCGCATCCTATCCAACCACCCATCTGATGCGTTTTCACAAGTTCGACTTCTCGTCTATGTGGGCAGCATGGCTTTGCGCATGATTCATGAAGATGCCAACTACCCCCGCCACCCCCGTCAGACAACATACTTGTCTTATGCAACCAAAATAACACATAAATAAGGTTGTTTCGGGTCTATTTGGTGGGTCATCCGCTTTCGGGGCTACGGGAGATCGTGGCACTGTCGTCACCTGCAACTCATGCAGAGAACCATCAGTGTTTGCGAGGACATCCCTAATCTCATCAGCCGGGAGGCGGATATGTCTACGCCAACCAGGTGCTAGGGAACTGAGCACCGAGAGACCCTGAAACAACCAAAATGTTGCATGAATCGTCAGGGTTTTGTTCTGAATATGCTCCAGGTTTGCTATCTCTGAATGCATCTCACTCAACACTCACCGACGTTGTGCAGGTTAACCCAAACGCAGGGCCTGAAACCCTGATTTACAAAAGACTCTCTGAATTGCCGGCGCAGTGCCCAGATGGCCCAAAGCACCGCAAATGCCACATCGCTGCTCTGCCTTGTTCAGGGAGAAGCCTGGCAAAGTCAAGTGCTTCGAAGTAGATTCCGAAGAACCGACTCTTACGGTAACAAATCTTGGCTTCTTCCGGCAACCCAACTCAACCCAGGTTGCTTAAAGGTCGGCTTGCGAGCAGATATGGACTATTTAGTACGAGAAATGAACATCTCTCGATGTTGCCTTCTTTCCATGATACAACACCAAACCATGTGTGTGTGTGTGTCGGATACATATATATATATACACATAAAAAATATGTCTGTGTATACTGTATACATATGTCATGAAATCGGAACTCATCAAGGCTGCTCATGTAAGCCACGATACAATGTCGAGTCCTGACTACTCATCCACCAATGTCACCATGCCCTTGCTGGTAGTTGGTCATGAACTGACAGTTGATGTAACATAACCATCCCTCAACGATTCTTTGCTGTGTGCTTCTTCCTACTCCGCATACTCGTCTTCTGTGACGACTAGATTCAATGGTCTGCAATCGTCAGTATGAGTATGACAGTCACTACGATGGTAACGATGACGCTACTGAGCCGCTACTGCTATCTCTGCGACAATTGGTTGCCTTCATACCTGATGAGAAGCTAAGCCCCATAAAGCTAAATCTGAAACAAAACCGAATCGCACGAAAATCCCTGCGTTTGCAAACTCAAGATGAAGCCCGAAATCCCAAACTCGCAGAAGAGCCATTGACCATGGCCAGCTGCTGCATGCCGTGGGTTCGCGCCTGTGGACGTTTCAGGATAGGGGGTCAAGTAGGGGATGGAAGCTTGGGAGCCAGGGTGGCTGGGAGGTTCGGTACAGAAGGTGCGTTAAGATGCGGAGCTGCTTGGTTTTGAAGAGAAGGGCATTCGTTTATGCAGTCCTGGACAAGAGGTCTCGACAGTCGAGGCTGAGGTGCACGCCGGAGAGCATCAATTCCCTAACACCCCACACCTACAGAGGATTGACCTTGAGTTTGGAGACCATCCTCATGATGAGCTACAGCTAGAGTAAACTATCTCAGAGGTCAGAGCTAAGTCCTGCCTAAACCCCACACGGGGCTCTGAGGGCTCTACATACTCGAACTCCGGACTTTCCGGGTTTAGCAGCGGCTCCACCAATCGCTCGCAGTGGAGGATCTGCTCCTGAAGCCCAGGACGAGGCCAAGTCAACAGAAAAGTGAAAGACCAGACATCGAAAATCCGCACACACTTATATATACAATCAAGACATGTATATACAAAGAGAAATAGCGCTTGAGGCAAAGAGCAATTCCAGTCGTAACATCACGAAAACACTGCAAGTGAGTATGTGGAAACTTGAAAATATCAAGAAGCTCTCCTTGCTCCCAAACAGCAACAACAACGATGTGACAGCCATGCGAAATATTGCCGCCATCATGGCTGGCATGACCACATGGCTAAGAACGGCCGAGTGATTGCTGCTGCCGCTGCTACAGTTGCTGCTGCTGGCACTCCTCCTCCCCTCCTGGCACATATACTTCTACCACTACGGGGTTGCTGCCACCAGCTCTAGCACCCGCAGCAGCACCATCACCGCCAATTCCACCATCACCGCGACCACCAGCAACTCCACTGTTACGGCAATGACGAAAGACGTAATGCTACTACTGTTACTGCCACTGCTGCTGCTGCTGCTGCTGCTGCATGAACGACACTACTGCTACCAGTCCACTGCCAGACCTGTCGTTGGGCGACTTGTGACTCAGCCGCTCAACCACAGCATCATTTGCAAAAGCAGTTGCAGTTTTTTTGCTGCAAAACCATCATGTGGTCATTCGTCCGTTTATGCCTGGGCAATGTGGGCTGCATTGAGAACCCCTGGCATCGGCCTTATGAAACGATAGATGCAGGCGGCTAGGCCCTCATCTCAAAGGATGCGAGGCGTTTCTTTACTTGCTAGACCTGTCAACTGCTGAAAAATACACTACAACCTGTTATCGCATCACTGTTTCTATTTCTATGTAAGCAGTGCGGCGGTTCTTTGAATGAAGGCCGAACGCCTGGGCTTGTCCGGGCGGTGGAAAACGAGACCGGACGGGCCTTGCGGAAACCCAGCAAACAAGGCGGCCCTCTTTGTCAGTCAGTCGCTGTGCGTGAAGGGGGTAGGTGTCACCGAGAGTCTGTTCCAACCAACTAGATTGAAAAACAGGTTCGATCCTCCTGTGTTGACTCTCCCCCGCTCTGCAGAACGGCGACTGAAACGAAGAAAGACAAAGATGCACTAAGATCGAAATTGAAGGTGGTCATCCGAGGCTCTTGCGACACTCCCGACAAGCGCCTGGCACGCTACTGTAAGTACTGTAAATACACCGCATCTGCCAAAGGTCTGCTGTGCGCCTTTGGATTTCCTTCAAGATCGCTTGAACGATCGGAAGACAGTATCAGGCGGGCTGTCACACTTGGGGCAGCACATTCCAATTTTCTAGCTATGGTAAGACTGATCGCGATAGCAAAAGAAGGAGACACACAGCTACAGCAACACATTCAAACAGTGCAGCAATGGTCGGAGCAATGCAACCGGCAGGAATGCTATGACGAAAGTCAGAGTAATGTTGCAGCGGCCAGCAATGGCGCACATAAGCTGTAATTATAGGTCGGTCAAACCGCAAGGTCGGAATCCCGACTTTGCCCCATCATCGGAGTGAACCATTGCTGTTTTTTTGATTCGATCAGACGAGATGGGGAAGTAGTAGGCTTGAAGAGATGCGCATAACAAGCTTCATGCTGACGTGTTCTTGAACGGCAACGCCCAAACGGAAGCACTCAGTAGAACTTGTGAGAGATACTGGGGTTGTTATGTGGGACGATATAGAAAAGTAGTGAAGCATGTGAAAGTGGCTGTCACAAGATCATGTCTTCTCCGCCCGCCTGAACAAAGCTTCAGAAGCTCACAGACAGCATCAGACAGGAGGATGTACGGTAATGATTCCAGTGCCCTTCAGCAAGAATACGACGGCTTAGGAGCTGCTGTGGCATCGACTGAATTGAAGCTCAGATGCCAAAGGAGTAGGACGAAGACTGCACCGCAGCGAATGACACGCTTATGCGCACATCGCTCGCAGTGCAGTAGGAAAACTCGCACATGCCCGAAACAAAGTGCTGCATGGTGGTGCCAGGCATTGCAAGTGCCGGTCGAAATCGCAATGAACTCGTAAGTTGGTTGACCATGATCAGCCTTGTCATGGCACGCAAAGCTTCGACTCGTATTGCAAGATACAGTAAGCACATCCTAGGAAATGGCCGGTTGACATCTTCCACTTTCTACGCTCGTGGATCCTGTGCAGCTCCTGGGTGCAGCTTTTACAGTGTGAGAGAGCGAATTTGCAACAGGTTGATACAAAGCAGGCTCCTGTCATATCAGGACAAGTTGTAAGAACCGAGGCGCCCTGAAACCGAGATTATAGAAATTGTAGCCTCAATGAACAATGCCTGCCATGTGTAGCACCACGTTTCGAGCTTGGGTCACCAATGACCATGCATGTAGTTCACGGAAGCAAACCATTAGAGTCGGCTCGGCACCCGGGTAGCTAGAACCGGCTGCTCCAGTCCTCGATTTAGGGGCGGCATTTCTGACTCGATGGGTTGCGGAAGCCGAGCTGTGTTCAGGCAGACTGTGGCGAAGCAAAGTCGGACTCTGTCACGGTTTCCAGCAGCTTTCGGCCAGCCCTGGCCGTCGTAGTCTCTGCAGAGCATGCTGCAGGCTCCTGCCCACTCCGACAAGCTCACACATCCCAGTTGTGATGCTACCGTGCGAAGAAGCAGTTCAGGCATTGCTGGATGTTCTGCTAGAAAGTTCGTACGGTTTCGTTCGGCGGTTTCGGAGACGAGAGGGTGTGGTCGCTGCATGCAGGGCTTCTAGTGTAGAGTGTTCTTCCACGACTTTAGCATAAAATGCAGAACTCGGTTCGGAGACATGGTGAGTCTTGGCGACATCGGTGGATGCATTCGTGGGCATGGCATCTTCGTCTCTCGAACGAGATTCAGCAACTTAGCTCCTGAAGCTTCGAAGCCCCCATCCTCTGTACAGGCATATACTGGCTGTTTCAATCGAGCTTACCCGGACAAGCTCTCAACCCCAAACCATAAGCCTTGTTTGCCCTGCTCATCCCTAGATGCTATCAAACTCTAAACCCGCCCAAGCCCCACATGCCTTGGAGATGGGCAACAGCGAGCTGTCCAAGCGACAGGCGCTGACGGCATCCTATCGGGCTTGCAGCTTTGTCGAATCAGTGCTGTTGGGCGGATTTGGGTACGGCCAGGGCCAGATAGGTTCATCCGCTTAGGGTGGAGGCTGCACAGTCGCTTGAAGGTTTGGTTTCGAGTTTGGGAAGAGCCTGGGTTGTTCCGAGTTTCTGGCTCCTCCGACAGGCCTTTCCGGTATATATATATATATATATAGGGCAGCACAAAAGCTGAAGGATCTTTACGAAGCTTTCAATGCAGAAGCTTTCAGGTGAACAGGGCAAGCCACTGGAAGAGAAAAGACACCCTGAAGCAGGAAACTCTCCACCCTCAAACCGAACGCATACTGTATCCCAAGCCGCGTGGCCTTGTTCACCTCCGCAAGCAACTCACTGGGAGCCACAGCACGTCCGCATTCTGCCGACCGCTGCACCGCGAGTACCACGGCTAAGCCTTTGCAAGGAACGACGCGGCAGGGTATAGAAATAAACCCCGACCTGAAGCCCGAAACTCCGACCGTAAAGGCGCCAAGCACTACATACAGGCAAGAAACTTTCCACGGCATCACGACCACTGCACACCTGCAAAGGCAACACAGCTCCATGCTTGACGAAATGCTCAGAATACTGTCATTATCTTAAACTCGAAGTTAAAGATCATGAGTTCCATGATCTGATTCTGTTCATCGACAGGATGTTTATCCTTTAAACAGGTACACTGACTTGGTTTGCCTTGTTGCGGCGCTGTGCGGGAATTCAGGACATGGGTGTTTTTTGCGTCCTCTTTAATTATGGCGTCGGTTTCGTCTTCGCTATGAAGGTTATAATTCCTTCTCCGCGCTTTAGTTGGCCTGATGCTAGTTATCTTGCAGTGACTTGTCGGGCCTGGCATGTGAAGGATTTAAGAGTCGGGGAAGGTGTTGCGCGGGGGAGCATAGGATTCGATGTAGGAAGGGTGCATACCTCCTGAAGCCTCGTGTAAACAGCTCCCCGGACCCAAATAAACACCTCAAAGCCCCCTAAATAGCTCTAGGTCCCTCCTAAACCCCCGACGGTTCTTCACCCTCAAAACCACAGAATAGCCGCTAAACCACCGTAGACACTCCTAAACCAGCAATCATTTTAGTACTTACATACTTAATCTAGCAGTAGCCGAACCCCGCAACATGCTGAGGGAGGGACGTGGCCACAAGACACAGTGCCACATTAAGGTTCTCGTTTGTCCGAATGAGCGTAGGGCATCAAGCGAGCCGGCGAAAAGTCGCACAAGAACTGGCCATCCCAGACAAGGCGCGGGAATCTCGTCTCCTGGCAACAGGCACACATGCGTCGCAAGTTCGCATGCGTGGCACTGGAAGACTCGAAGGGTCTTGTGACTTGTGCAAAAGCTCAAGATCAGCAGCCAGTGCAATGCAGGGATGTGATTTGGGCGCACGAAGCCCGTCCTCGACAAACTCGGACGAAATGGTTCATCTGCAGAAGGAGCGGATCCTCCGTTGTCGACGGCAGAATGGCGACGTTGATTCAATGCCAAAGAGTGCGTGTCTGACAACTGAAGGGCCTTACTGCGCCGATATCCAAACTCTGTCCAAAAGCGCTGCAAGCTGCAATGTAATCCCGGAACCTGAACAACAGAACCCAAACCCGACAACCCTGGACCCCTAAACTCCGAACACCCGAAACACTGAATCCAGGAGGTTCATCACTCACGTCAAACACATGGGAAAGTTCCCCCCTCCTGGCCTCCATTTGGACCTTACGGAACTTTGCTTCGGCGTGGAGGTGTGCCGTTTGGGATGTAGGGTCATTACAGCAGCAACAGAACCAAATCCCGATCGTTCTCCAAACAGTGTCGAACACAATATGCGGTTCTGAGTAAGCTTAATTGCGTTTGGGTGTAAAGAGGACTGACTAGTCTGTGAGGCGTTGGCGGAATATTCGTGTCGTAAATACATAGACCCCATAATTGGCCCCGAAAGCCTTTAAACATGCCAACAAAGGGAGGAGACCTGGGTCGGTAAATGTCTCTTGTGCCGCCAGTTGAGAGCCTCTTCCGAGAGGCTTATCCAGGCTTTGAGGGTTTGGCTCCAGACTTCCATCACATTCGACTGAAATCAAAATCTTCGGAAGCTGAAGGCCAAGCTTGGAAGAGTTGCTTCAGCCATGAATGGGGCAACCTTTGACAACGGGAACGTGCACCAAACGTGCCAGCCTGTGCACTCCGCTGAAGTCTCCATAAACCCTTCGTGGATCATCGTAGGCTCCGGGCCACCGGCTGCTCCACCGTCAGCGGAGCATCCCAGCCACGCTCGGCTGCTCCACGATAGCTGAAGTTGTAAAGGCTCGGAAAGCCCATAGAACCTTGAGCGTGTACTGAGATATTCAAGCATGAAGAATGCAGTGACATGCAGATTGGGTGGTGTATCGGTGCGAACACGGCATTGCAACACAGCAAGACACAACGGATGCCGCATAATCATACATATATATATATATATGTTATATGTCTCTAACAGCAGGGGCAAGTGGCACGACCTCTTCTGGCAGTGTTCACAGATGTAGACCTCCCGATAAGAGTAGACTAGACGACAGGAGCAAGTATGCAAAGAAACAAACAACTTCTACACCGCATCCCTGCAATATCCCATCCTGATATCCGTGATGCGGTACCGCAGTTCGCGACACTGAGAGGTCGTGCAGGGAACAGAACAAGAACATGGAGCCATGCAACAATTGAGCACCTCAGTGATAGAGCAGTGCTACACGAACATCGATCTTAGGACTGTGCGCTTGACTGTATAAAGACATCCACCTATGACACGACAGCGAAGCCTTCGATTTTGCACGCGAGCCCCGTTGTTGTGGCTTGACCCCTCACCAGGACAACAAACCGTTTGGGCCAAGCCGGTGGACACACAAACACACACACACACACACAGAGTGCGGGAGGTTGGTTCAAGCGTTCTGCATCTTGCAGCTGAGAAAAACACATCAGGAAAAGTGCTTTACACCAAGTGTAACCGACTTGTGCTGGCACGCATGACCATGGCCCGAGAACCTGCCTTCTTGAATTGCTGGTTACTGTCAAGCTTCCACTTTTCGATGATAAACATACTTACTGTTGAAGCTGTTGATTCGTTGGTTTCAGGTGCTCTTGAGATAATGCTCAGCTTAAGTTTCCAGTCAAGATTTCTGCCAAGCTGCGCTGTGCTCCCATGAAGTGATAGCAGTCCCGCATATCATTGCCCGCCACCTCAAAGCGCAAAGTGACGAGCTGTGAGCTGAAGTCGCTATCCAGCGGCCACGACTGATACAGCTGTCGGCCGTATTCTCGTGCTTGTGACCCGTTTTTGTTTGTGCTAAACGGACCTAGACAGTTACCGCCACATCTATGTTCGGCCACACAAACTCTGCTAGAACCCTTGCCGTTCAACGACTGAAGGTAAGCTGTGATGAAACTTGTTGCTGGGACCGGGCCCATTTAATGTAGCTGAACCCAAGAACAGGTAGACGAACCTGCGAAGATGAGAGAAAAGAAATGGGTTTGGTCCAACTAGTGCATGCAGGTTGCCGGCGGGTATTTCTTGTTCTCCGCCGTGGTAAACCTGAGTGGGCATCGAAGTTCGCCTGCCTGTGACACATGAGCCGTGTGCTATTCTATCCATGTTCGAAATGCTGCTTCCCGCGGAGCACTTTTAACGGACAAAGTTTCGCATCACCCCTTCCACCAACGGTTGTTACCTGCTCGCACTACTCCTTCCGCAGACCTTGTTAAGCCATAAAAGCACCGCAATACGTACACGAGGCCGGCATGGGCTTACTGCAAAGGAGTGTGGGAGTTCAAGGGTGCAGGTTCACTGCCTTTGTCTTGATATTCGTCTGCTTTGGGGATGCCTCCTACTTTCAACTTCGAAAATCTAGCGAGAGAGGTTTGAAGAGGCAACGGCTCCAAAACTGTATGGAGCCACAACCGAATTAGTTGCGAAAACAGGATCTTCCCTCTGCTGGGCATGTAACAGGTAGGAGTACTTTGCGGCAACTTCTCCACCACTCGCTCTCCGGGAGGCGAAGATGGTTCAATCAAGCTTCGATGAGTTTCAGGGGCCCTCCACAGGGCAATCAACAACGTCCATCGAAGCTTAAGCCTCTTCGAGAATACTAACCTATGGTTCTGCGCACCTCATCACTGCGGCATCGGGCGACTGCTCCTCTGACCCTTCCAGCCCTAACCCTCTGCAGACAATCAGTTTGCAACTTCCGTGAGATCCACGTCCCATGGTTCTCTAAGCCCCAATTAAACACAACCCCAAATAAACACCCCCATACATTCCAATAGACCCTATGAAGCGCCCGAGCAGCTCATAGCTCCAGGGAGCTGGGGCAGCATCCGTAAAGAAGAGCGTGCCTGTTGTGTTTTCCATTTGATGGCAACCACATATGGTGAGGTTGGGATGCTTTACTTCTCTGAGGGGGATGCTGCAAGCGATCTGGAAGCTGAAGGGATAAACGACAACACGATCAGACAATTCTTTTTGGTATGGCCAACGAAAGTTACAGCAAGGAAGAGTGGAATGCTTATGCTGGCGTCAATATGGAAAGTTTGGTCTGGCCTACAGCGCCATGGTCGAAGGTCACGGTAATGCCGCCGGAGTCTTCGACCTTCACGCTTCATCGCATGGCTGTTGAGCTGTAGAGAAACGACGCTGAATGAGTTTGTCAGTGACACACCCAAGCATCACTCACATCCTTGCCCAGTGCCATGTGACGACAACAGCATGGCGCAGCAGAAGCGCTTAGGGAAAGGTGAATAAATATTCGGTAGCATTACATATCAAAACAAGACATAGCCTCAAGAGTCTGAATAGCCAGATCATTGGGTCACTTGCCAGGGGCGTTGTTGCCTTCCATCCGTCCAGCCAGTCAACAAGCTCAATACTGTGGAGACTGGAGACAGAACCGAAATGTCGAATAGGAACTCTGCACATCTTCTCCGAAGGAGCATAACGGCAGTCTTCAATCGATGCCCGCTTAGTTGAGCTTCACCTACTGTACTTTCGAGCACTGCTGCCAAAGCGGCTACCAGGAGACTCGGAACATCTCGGGACTGACTCTGAACTGCTTGAGTTGAGTCAAAGTCATGGCATACTTCCGGCTGGAATGTCCACATAAAGGGGGCCATGCACAGATCACGTCTGCACTCCCACCACTCTGCATAAGGAAGCAACCCATAGTTTGTTACAATGTCTGCATGAGCACCCTCTCCCTAAGCCCTGGCCGATGAGCACCTCTTCGCCACGTGCTGCACTGCTGGTCATGGCAAAGACCCTGGTGATTTCATGGCCAGTGATAAAACCTTGGCTGGAGGCTCGGGACGTTTGGTGTTTGAAGGGGAAGCAAGATGACTAGTCATGTTAGCAATGATTAAGTGGTCCAAGGTAGTCTGCAGATATTCTACTTCAACAGTCACACGGCGAAGACAAAACGTAAGGTAGCTGCCCCTTTCGACAGTCTGACGAGCCTGCGAAAAAAAAAAACTAAGGCTGAACTGCCCTTTTGGAAACAGGGATTCTAGTTTGGGGATTCACCCTCACGATGATTCATGAACTCCCCTACCTAGGACATACCCTCTGCCGGCTACCTAACTTTGCCGTTTTGGGTAGTTTCTCATGTGTAGAAGGACAGAATCTTGAACGGGTCTTGGCCCCATGACGCATCAGGTCCAGGTCGTGGATCGTGTTGATCAGGATCGGGCCGCCGACACCCTGCATCGATTCGTATTAAAGTGTCCCCCGAACATCCCCAAATCCCAAACGCTACAAGCCCGAACCGCTGTTAAACACCCAGAATCCCGAAGACGTCCTTTGCAGCTAGCTTCGAGTTCTCTTGTCAAGCCTACATGACTGCTGCAGTAGCCGTCCAAATGTGCTTGTCCACATCTATTTCTATCGCCTTCTTCACATTCAACATTTAAGACAGATGTGTGTGTGTGTGTGTGTAAGTTTTTTGTGAGTTTATATATATATATATATATATATGTATATACATTTTTACATATACATATATTTATATGTTCAGAGACAGGTGATATACACATAGCCGAACCTAGCCAAGCCAATCCTAAATCAGAACTCCTAAAATTCTAGAATCCTTGCAGAAGAGCCTGGGTAACAGGAGATCTTGAATATCTGCAGACCCTGTGTCGCCGCAGACCCTGACCAATGCGTAGCAACAGAAGACCCTGCGAACCTGTCTAACACTACAGGATCGGAGACCAATCCTTTAACGACCTCTACCCACATACATATACACACATGTATACATTCGTGTGTGTATACTATATATATATATATATATATGCATACTCTGTGCATGATGTGTGTGTTTGTGTGCACAACAAAGCACATAAAAGCCTATTGAAATCTCAGACTGTCACAGTAGTAGGTATACCAGGTACACTGTTTCGAACAGCCATCGCCTTCCGTCTTCGCCACTCCAGCGCCGGGTCGTCTTTGCAGAAGTAGGAATCGGGTTTTAGCAATGAGAACTCCTCGGCACACGAAAGGCAGTAGGTCAGCGGTCCAGCTGCTGCTGTTGAGAAAACCGGTAAGTCTCAATGGCCTGCTTTCGTGGCACTGCAATGGAGCGTTGTGTTGGGCAGCATGCTCTGCGAGGCACATATGCCGAGTCAGAAGCTATCTCGCATCAAAGTCCCGAAAGTGAAGACCGGCGGCCATGTTCACACCACGAAGAGGCCCGAAGTCCTGATCCTCGGAGACAAAGAGCTGCACACAGACTGGCACAGTACAATCGTAAATCAACATCGAACGCGCCGTGGGCTTTGCCATGGAACAAGCACATGCATGCATTCATTGCGAGTGAGCAGATGTGTGTAGAACCTGTATGATGTGTAGCACGTCCTCTGCATCCAAGCGCTCACTACGTTTGCTTGAAGCTGAACGCAGTTTCACACATGGACACACCCTGTTGGCCCTCTAATTCCGAAAGTAGATGACAAACGGCCAGCCAAACTCGCACTTGTCCCGGTGTTCTGTGTGTTTCAGTGACACATAAGATACATAGCAGCATGCACCACTACAGTCATCTTACTGGAACTAGGTGAATCAATCCCCTCCACACTTCCCTCCCCCCTCTGTTCGATCCATGGGCCGTAACCACCTGACGCGCTAGCTTCACAAGCCGTGAGTGGCGGCGCTGGTGGCCGACAAGGACCACCACGCCCGCCGAGTCTGTGACACCTCATGATGGGGCTTGGGAGCCGTGATGGCAGCTCTGTCTGGGGTTCCGGACATGTGACCTCTCGCCAACTTGCAAACCCTGTGTGTTCTTGTCGCAGACATGGGCGTTTGTGCTTTCGCCGCGCCGTCCGCAACGAACGCCTTAAGCCTTCCAAGTACCTGCTACACTTCCGAATTCCGAAACTAAAACATTGAAAGGAGAGAAATACAGCCAGTTTGAAAGCATTAAGCTCTACGCTTTTCTACCTCAACATGTAGCAACCCCAAGATCACGGAAAGAAGTAGGCCTGGCACAAACACAAAGCCAAGCTGCTGAGAAGCTCTGCTGCCTCGAGTGGACAGCTATGCCACTTCTGAAACGCATAAACTGTACATGAACGCAAGCCAGCCTGAACATGAGTGCTTCTTCTAACATTTACGGGTATGCGTGTGATGCCTGCGACCAGACGACACCACAGCCGCTGTTCTGTTACGTCTACGTAGCTGTCTCTACATCTGCATTCTGCAGGCTTTGCACGGTTGCATGTCATTATTCGGAGTTCCACTCGTTCTCATGGCAGGGTGTGTCATCATCCGACTGAATCGCTGTCATTCACATCTACAGTACAACCGTAAACTGCCAGTGCTGCACAATCTCCGGACTGCCTCTCCCGGAGTTTTTGGAAACGAAACCGATTCGCACGACGGGCCTACCATGTTCATGAAACACATGCAACCAGTAGTTCGTGTGGTGTGGCCCATGCTGTTTGGCTAAACTGCGAAAGAGCAACATGATAGGGGCTACCAGCTAATGAAAGATGAAACTTGCCAAGGAAACGAGCAATGAACGGATCTGCCACTTGAGCTCCCTGTTCTAAGGGTGCTCAGGAAGGAAACTCCTCTCAAAGGAGGCGCCTTATGGGGAACAGCCATCACGCCTTCACTCGGGGCTATACTGTATAGTCCTCATGTCAGTGAGGCTGCTGCAACCGGCCACACCCTCCCATCCCCATCAACCCATTGCGATCGAGTTTGCGCTCTGAAGGTCGTGGCAAATGGGCTTCTCGATCAGTAGTGCTTTCAAGGTGCCACCTGCAGGGTCTAGGGCTTCATAGTCCAGGTACTAAGGCTGACAATTCGAGGCGCTGCGGGACCTAGAGGCCTCAGGCACGCCAGGACAATGTTTGATAAGGTAGTCGCGGCAATGCCGGATCGGATACGGATATGACGTAACAAACCCAAAGAGCCAAGCACGTGGTCAAAACAGAGACGTAGCCTGTAAAACTGAAGCAAATTCAGACCGTGAATGCAGTGGCCAGGCCAGACATGGGAGAAAAATCAACACCCAACGTCTGTCCATCCCTCCGTTGGCTTGAGCAAGCGCCACGCGACGCCCAGCCTCATATTAAGAATGCTCGTTCCCACCGCCTTGACCACTACCATGACCCGCTGCTATCAGCGCTTCGTGTAAGACTGGAATAAACTTGGTGGCTGTGCTGGAATTTAATAAGGGAGGTGGATTCATTCGACCTCGGGGTCAGTTCTCACTGTGGTGTCATGATCGTGATGTCCATTCCTGCTTTGCGAGGCATCACCCGATCATGGCAATGCGGCATTTTTTCCGGCCTTGTTCGGATTCGTCGTAACGTTTCCCCCACACCCCCCACCCGCCCCCGGCCCCGCGCGCCCAATGATGGCAAGTTATTCTGGGGCTATGTTTTGTGACTGTGAGGCAAAGATTACTTGAAATTATTGAGTTATCCTTCGTCTGAGCGCAGCAGCAAGAGCCACTGGGACCAAACTTTCAATAGATCTGCTGCCAGTGTGTAACTTGCGTTGGAGAGGATGGGAGCACGGCATGGGGGGCAGGAACGATACAGGCGAGAGGCTGGGGGAGCCAAGGGGCCGTTTGGGTTGCAGGGGATGTAGCTTTGACAGCATGCGTTTCGGACCTATTGCAAGATTCACAGATAGCCGTGTCAAATGCATCGCCTCTGAAACTGAAATGAATCGCACAGGCCATGCAGCTAAAGTGCAAGTCTTCCTGATTTCGTTCATAAGACTACACATGAGACTATTTAATTGTTGCTCTGCTGGCGACTGCACTGCAGTCGGAAAGAAATCTTGCATCAAGTTGTTCAGGCTTTAAGCTCTAGGCTCCAGTCCTGCACGACCGTCTGCCAAGCTGAACTCTGCTTCTCGGGGTGCTACGCTACAGTTCAGGGTGCAGTCTGCGCGGCATGAAGCAGAAGATCCCGTCAGTATCCTGTTTCCAAACAATCTCAAGGTCCACGAGACCCACTGCCCCACTGTAAAATCCGAAACCTTAAACCACTTGTTAGTGTGCTGTTACAAGCAACACAGGCATGTCTACGCATATATACACACGTACATACGTACATACATACATACATACATACATACATACATACATACATGCACCAATACATACATACATACATACATACATACATACATACATACATACATACATAGATACATAGGTACATACATACATGCTCACATACACACAAATTCATTCATACATATGTAACCATATGTATGTACATACGTACATGCTTACTGCACACAAGCATACATGCATACGTACATACATACACACGAAGCCATCAACCTTAACCTGTGCATGTACCGACATGCGCATACATGGGAGTATTATATTATATATATATGAACACACTTGAACACACATACAAAAACACATGCATGCAAACATTAATATGAAATACTCGCTATACACATAGACATCGAATGAATGAAGCTAGTAAGGCATATAGGCATCAGCAGGCATACTCATGAACCTAAGCTTTATCATATCTCCCCGAGCCTCGGCCTTCTTCCCTGCGAAGCTTTGCTCCTTCGATGCAGGCCTCTCTTCGAGAAATGAGATCAACCCTAGGTGGTTGATGCTATTGTACCCGGCCTGCTCTCGTCACTGTGTGGTACAACTTTAACTCTCTCAGCACATGCACCTCAAAGCAGCAGTTCTGTGCTGGGCCCAAGAAGCCGCCTGCGTTAGCGCCAAGTGGAGGTGAGTGGGCGCGGCGATGACGACTCCGTCAAGCGCCTCCTGGCGCGCCATCTCCTGTCGTGGACATCAGTCAGGGGACAGGCTTGTGCACTGGAGCGTTGGTGCGGGGCTATGACTGGAGCTTAGAATGGGTTGGTTGAGCGGTCGTGATCTGTCTGGCAGCACAGCCCACGTCCCAAAACGCATTCCTCAAGCCAGAGGCGCTCTATATAGAATCTAGAAGCAAAAGTCGTCACCCGGCGACTACGAAATCGACACGTGTAGTAGTAGTACTATAGTACAAACAGCTGATGCTGCTTTCGGTACAATGAGCTTACACACGTATACGCAGACATATATACAGATTCACCCATACACAGAGTTGCACACATATACATGCATACACAAGTACATAGACATACACATGCATGCATATATATATATATATGTGAGTGCAGGCATGTATACATACATACATATATATATATATACATATATGTATGCAGGAATATGGATATATGTATGCATATTCTGTATGTGCCCGTGCGAAAGCATGTACGAATAAATAGACAGACACATAGACATGTACATATACAACTACGAGTGCATGTACATAGACAAAGACTTAGATGTATGCGTGTGCGCCCAGGTATGCGTATATGTATACATAAAAACATACTCTTGATGACCGTACATAGCATGCAACCATAGACCACGTGCCATGCTATACGGCACACACACACACACCTTGCAACGTAACCAGCATAAATTCAAATATCAAGTAGGTCAAAGTAGGTTTGGTCAAAAATGAAAATCAACTAAACTAGATGCTCAGTAATGGATTATAGTGGCATTGCGCTTATGTACCAAGTACATGCATGTATATACATGTATATATATATATATACACCATCATACATACACGAGTGTGTACATTTGTATATGTGTGTATATGTACACGCACACGTTCCCACCTTCGCGTCAATGTAAAGTGGCACTTGCAGCTGCTCGGCCAGGGCCGTATCATCTGCGCGCCGCTGGCAGATGCAGGCCAGCTCTACCTTCGAGTTGAGGGATAAGGAGGTTTTGCAGTCTCTGTAGGGCTTGCTGCAAGTGTCTAGGCTCTGGTCACAGGACCTGAGTTTGCTCCACAGGGGACTGAGCAGTGACTATGCCGCGTATGCTTCCTCTTCGCGCTTCGGTTCGGCTTTGGTTCCGCTTTGTGCCGGCTTGTTTCCGCGATGCAGCATCGACGGCTGGTTGAATGGACATGGCGGAGTGAAGACACACACACACATGACATGGTGTCCACGCTTAGAGGACATGCAAGTATATAACTTCTTGAATCAAGAGCAGTACGTCAGCTCCAAAAGTCAAGCACATGCAATTGAAACTAGTGTGCCCTCGGTCCTGAAACCCACCCTCTTCAAAGCTGGGGCCACCACGACAACCGCAACAACAGCTGTCAAAACTGCGGCCAACAAGAAAACCAAGTACATGCGACACAACGCGCAAGACGAAGAACAAAGCAAGTGATAACATTGCCACCCTGAGGCTGAGGGCTTAGGCTCACGGTGCAATTGAAAAGATGATAGACAAACCCCCGACCCCTGCCCCCTTCCAGCGACGAAGCACATCATCGTCTTCAGCCAAGCGCTTGAGAAGAAGACCTCAAAGGCTTGGTCTTGCCATGAGACCGTGCCAGGGCGGGTTCAACCTGAAGCTATGTGAAAATCCCTATATGTGTGATCGTGACATATGAACCATGTGCAAGCTCACTGCAAGGGACGGCGCAGTTCAGAGGCACTGATGAGAGGACACATGGCTGCTGAAAGGACAGGCACTCGAAAAGCTCAACGCCCACAGTATCTATAACCCGGCAACGGGAATGTATCCAGAACGACGACTACTATGACTTCTACGACTACTACGACGACGACGATGACTACTGCTACTACTACCACCGGCGTGTGAGTAGCGGTCGTAGTGTATGCAGTTGATGACTAGAACGTTATAGTGTTTTCTCGTACGGGATTTAAGGCGGAGGGGTCTGGGTTCTACTTTTACCTAAGCGTCAACCGAGGGCGACTGCACTGCCTGACACGGCTGCGAAAGCCCCAGCACTGCTCCCTCGAGCTTAAGCTTGAGGCGACGAGGCGCAGTGTGCACGGCCGACGAGTGGGCCGGCTCCCACCACACCCACACGGCATGGCATTGCCAGCAAAGCAATTGCAAGTGTAAGTAAGCTAAGACATGCGTGACACATGGTCACATGATTCTTCTACGACCAAGAACTATTTGCAGAACGTTGTTCTACCATTAGTATTGGGCATCAACGACCGCTTTAGATCTCCTTGCTGTTTTGGTGTTCGTTCATGGAAGCTGCTAAGCAAGCTGCAGTGGTGAAAGGAGTGGCAACGAGATCCGGGCATGGAAACTCTTTTATGAACCTTTATCTGAATCAGTGCGCCTCTGCAGCATGAAAGCTACTCCACGAGGCAATTCAGCACGAGGCTGGGTATTTAAAGCGCAGCAGTTGAAGAGACCCTCGACAGACCCTGAATTTTGCTGCAAGTCTTTGTGAAGTCACAGATTCCGTGCCCCTTGCAGCTCCTCCGTCTCACCCTCAATGTGTACCTGGGCGGAGTAGTAGTAGTAGACGTGAACCACGCCCGGACCGTGTAACCCTAAACCCTAATCAATCCCCTTCAACACTTAACAACCCTCAACCCCTAAGCCCTGAACCCCTGAACCTGAATATCCGTAAACCCTACCCTAAACCCAAATCCCTGAACCCAAACCCCTCAACCCCGAAACCCTATAAACCCTGAAGCGATGTGCGCGCAGGGCGCGCGTAACTGTAACCCCTAAAACCCTAAGCCCTGAACCCGAAACTTTAAATCCAAAGCCCTAACAGCCCTAAACCCTAAACCCAATGCCCCTTCTCCCTAGTTTAATCCCTGAACCCATAAACCCTACAACCCTAAGCCCTGAAACCTACACCCAAAACCCAAACCCTTAAACCCTGAACCGATGTGCGCGCCCGGCATGCGCAACCTTAAACCCTAATCCCTGATTAAAACCCTGAATCTATAAACCCTACAACCCCATAAGCCCTGAATCGCCCCTAAAACCTACTCTACCCTCCCGTACCCTAAACGCGGGATTTTGGGATCGGAGGGGGGGGGGGGGTTCGCAATCTTCAAGTGCTGCAAGTGGTCCAGGGATGGCAAGATTACCAAGATGACACCCCCCGCCCCCCGCTCCCCCAAAAACCAACCTGAAAAAGCAAGACCACACAAATGACAAAGATTACCTAAATGACGCTCCACCCCTGCGCCAGTAAGAGGACCAAGATGACGGTAATTTTGACCCCCACCAACATGACCAAAATGAACAAGATTACCAAAATGAGGTTTAACGTTAGCAGTTTCCGATTCCCAGCACAATGTAGCAGTAGCAGTAGCAGCAGCAGTAGTAACAGTAGCAGTAGCAGTAGCAGTAGCAGTAGCAGTAGCAGTAGCAGTAGCAGTAGCAGTAGCAGTAGCAGTCGGAGTAGGAGTTGTAGTAGTAGGAGTAGTAGTAGTAGTAGTAGTAGTAGTAG